AATTAGCACCTCAAAATGAGTTTTTTTTAAGACAAAAACAGACTGCTATAATCTTTCATTCTTTATAATATAGTGTGTTTAAAGGTAATGCATAGTAAAAATGAACATTGTGTCCAAATTTTAATTATAACATACATACACGATTATAAAGACCTTTAAAATAATGCAAGTTTAAACATAATCTATCATCAAAATACACCTTATGCTATATGGAAATCTTAAATTTAACAGAATTTCTAATTAAAAATCAACAAAAAAACACTGTCAGTAATTGACAAAAATGTCTTAAAATTCCAATTCTTTTTGCATGACAAGTAACCACTTTTCAAAATTATTTTAAATTAACTCTTAATCCATAATGAAAAAGGTTGACCATTACTTCAAATATACAAAAATACACTTTATTCTCATGCTTCAAATAAACCTGAACCTTGTAAACAATGGCATACTTGTGTAAGACATTAAAATGCTCAGTAGTACTGTATTTACTTTTAGCCATATGTCATACTAAACTTTACTTTTCCTTTCACATATTTTTTCTATAGTTATTCTGCTTTAATTCATACAGAATTATTTTAGTTTATGAAGGAAGCTATAAGCCTGAACCAAGCAACACTAAGTGATTAGTGTTATGTTTCTTGCTCAAGGACACAATGGTTTGCCCCTTCACCAAATATCATTCCTAAATAATGGTGAAATAACCAACCGTTTTATATATTATTGTAATGTATATGCATATGTGATGTATGTATTATATATACTCTACTTGAACCAAAAGCTATGGTTATATTTTCTTAAACATAATTTCTCTTTTTTATAAATAACAACAGTAATATGCATAAATTAATTTATGTTTTATATACAGTAAGATATTTTCAATATCATCACATTGTTAGATATCACTTTTTCATACACACTCTTTCAACTACAGGACTGCTTTAATATTTACAGGTATGTGCAATAATAAGCAATGTCCCACATATTTGAACCGCAACATGACAAAACCAACATAGTGTGTATGCAACCAGCATGGATCCAGACCAGCGTGCCCATCAACGCAGTCTGATCAGGATCCATGCTGTTCGCTTACAAACCTTAAAGAGAAACTTATACCAAACAGCATGGATCCTGATCAGACTGCGCGGATGCGCAGGCTTGTCTGGATCCATGCTGGTCGCAAACGCACTATGTTGGTGCTGTCATGGCAAGGAACATTTATATTATATATGTATACAGAAGTCTGTTTGTAAATGTGTTTGTATAACGTTTCCATCACTTGTCAGGAGCTTCGGGTAATTTTATGGCGTCTGCTCCAGCTCCGTGGATCTCTGGTTGATATGTTAGCAGTACAATCATCACCCATAGGTGTAATAAGGCCTGCAATTATAATATTTGTTTTCTTAGAAATCTCATGATTTTTTAAAATACTTAAAAATCTTAACTCAAATTACGACATTTTCAGTTGTGAAAAGATTAACCAATATGATACATTTTACACATTTTTAGAACTGAAATCACCAATATGCCATTATTTGTAAATCTTATACTGTAAAATTTTGCAGATTGACAGTGAAAAGTACAGATGACTTTGGTGAATTTTAAGCTGTCATGGTTGATGAAAACAACACAAGACCATTGATATTATTTAGGAAACATTAAAAAAACAGCATAAAAAACCCACAACAAAAACATGAAAAACTTAAAACCTCTGACGTTGTAACAAAAGATTATTATTAGAAATTAAAGTGAAATTTAATTTAAGGTGCCAAGCTATTTTTTAACATGTTAATAATTTGAAATACTCTAAAGAAGATTTGATCATTTATTAATTGACAAACATTTTCAAATTAGATTTTAAAAAAGAAATGTAAGAAAAAAAAAGACTATTACCATATAAACGATCACAAAAACTCTCGCAATGGGATATCTCCTGAAGAATACACCAAGACGTATACTGAAAGATAAGACAATATTTATCAATCCAAAAAATAAAATTGTATTTGTAATGAACCAGATGAAGCAATTTAAAAGATAGAGTGACATGAATCATTTTAAAATAGGAAATTTTACAATTTTTACCTAGAAATACTTGATTAAAACATCCTCATACAAAACTCCATGATTAGATTCTTAGTCACACCAATATTGTAAAGATTACATGACATTTTTAAGGTTTACTGGTGGAGGAAGACTAATATTGTAACAATGTTGGTAGAACGTAATAATACTAATAATTAGCATAATAATGTGCAAAAACTTAAGTTGTTGAATTAACATAAGGGAATGTTTCCTATATATATTTCCCATATTTAAGGACACAAACCACTCTTGGTGGTGTGCTAGCTAATCATCGACAGGGTTTTTGTGCCTTAAAACGTTACAATAGGCCCCATTATTTCAGGTACAATGAGACATAGCTGCGAGGATTAAGCAATTCAAAGTTAACATTTCTGACTATCTTATACAGAAGAAACATTATACCTTTATACTAAAACATAGTCAAGTATTACTAAAATAATTCGCTTAAATATTAATTAATTGAATCCTTTCTTTAAATAAAATAACATTTATCCAGTCTTTCTAAATTTAACTTTACAAGAAATGTATTTACCTTTTCTGTACTAATTTTAACATGAATCTTAAAAGAAAAGGTACTGAATCATTATATAAATGACTTTCACATCATCATTTTTTTTCTTTTTTTAATAGGTCGATTTACTGGTAAATTTACATTTAAACAATTCTATGATAAAAGAGAAATGAGTGTACCTGAATTTATCAATGGAATTGACAGCTCTCTTCATTTTTCTTGTCACCTCTGTATCAGTGGGTACCTCTCTCATAAACTGTGGCAATCTTTGCCGTACTGAAAACGTAACATAAAATCTCTATAATATACAAAAACTTGTACTAGAATTGTTTTAAAAGTTTTAAAAATGAAAATATACTTTTAATCTATGAAATAAAACCCGAACACAAAATGGCAAACACAAAATACATTCCGTTGAAACATGACTAATGAAGATGTTATGAAAAAAAAATCTCAAAAAAAAAAAAAAAAAATCAGAGGCTAAGAATTAATAACAATTCTATGGTATTAGGAAATATACTTTTTTACATTTTGAACTTGGAAACATAGATGTTAATTTTGGGGTATGAATGTCAATGAACCATGCAAGTAACTGTAAAATTATGATTCATAATAATTCACTTTTGTAATGCTGATTTACATTACATCCTCACTATAAAAGAAAAAAGTTTAAATGGAATTGAAAATGATTTGTCTTTCAAATTTAAAATATAAAACAACAACATAGAAATTATGAATAATATATGTTTTTCAAAAACTGTTTTAAAATACGTGCATTTTCTACCTTCATCATCATCATGTACAGGTATCACAGTGGTGTTGGTCCTTACAGCTGAAGCCTGAATATCCTTATACTGTTGCTGAAATTAACAACAATAAACATTGAAATTGTTATGTTGTTTCTGCATAAATCACATACATTTCATTAAATACATCAGAATATTAGTTTACACTATCTCTAAAAAAATGTTCTACCTAAATCTGTATGTCTTAAACATTTTTTTTTAATTTCAGATAAAGTTTCTTTTTATCAAGAACTATTTCAAAAACAAAACTAAAGCCCAGACTAAACAATATTCAGTTATATAGAAATAAAACTATGCAACCAATCATAAAATTAAGGAAATTGCCCTGACACATTAAAAATATTTTATTTACTTATTGTTTGGTATTTTAGATAGTTATTCCAAATAAAAGTGTTCATTTCTAATGTGCTGGATTTTGATATTCAATTGTATTTATCAAGCAATCAGTAGCTTGGCAGCAAACATACCCCAAGCCTCTCTAGCTGTAACCCTAGTGAGTTTTTCTCTGTGCTTAATGCCTCCACCATGGTTTGTTTCTGTATTAGACTTTCTGTTAATTCTCTCACTCGAGATTCCAGCTCAGATTCTGATGTTGAACTCATGGACTTTGTAGCCAACTGTTGAAAATTTGTATGTGTATTATATTGATTAAAATAATGAAATTCAGAGGACCTCCAAATTTATATTGTTATATCCGTGAGGCAACCATTGAAAACAAGAGTCAGGATTGTGGCAATGTCCACAGTACTAATACAAGCAATATTTTTATAAGTAGAGGTTATGTTTTACCTTATTCAATTTGAACTAGTATACTGTTATATGGCTAGTCTCAATTTGATTTCTACCATATAAATTTTGCATGTAGTATTCTGAACCTGTATTTTGAAATTACAATACTGACAAGTTGTTTTTGTCAAATATTCAATGAAGGTTATCTGTTTTTTTTTTTTTTAATAAAACCTTACAAAAAGATATTTAAATCAGCAAAAGTTGTCTCAAAAGACACTCAAATCACTATATATCCATGTACATGATGTTCATTATGTACAGTATCATAATTATGACCGGTATCAAGAGATTAGCTTTCAAAAGATTACATTTCTAATATCTGTGGTGGCCTATTTGGTGGCCTTTACAATCTGGTTTGACTATTTTGATGTATAAATACTATTATTAATAATACCTGATTTCTCAGCCGCTCAATTTCAGATTCCCTGTCTTTCATTCGACTCTGGAATGATGTCTTTTGTTTATGTAGTTCCTCAATGGCATATTGCAGCTCCTGTAGTCATCAAAAATAACAATATCTATAAATAACACTATCTATTGATTAAATAAATGAAATCAAATTCATGCAATTTTATAATCAATCTTTTGAAAAATGACTTCTTTTTCAATAAAAAAAAATTCTAGAATACACCAAAACTGGCTTTAAATTTAGACTGGTGGAATTTGGCCAAAATATAGGCAAATATAGGAAATTATAATCAAATACAGTCAATGGTCAAAATATAGGAATGTATAGGAAAATATAGGAGAGTGGACACCCTGATTGTTTTTTGTAATCACTTCAAATATTTCTATGAAATATACTGCATCCATTATGCTTAATTATTCAAATATACAGTTTGAATTTTCTTGCATAAGTTAATCATATAGAATGATTTGGCTCATGTAACAAAAAAAATCACCATATAAGCTGTAACATACCCGCTTTTGTTTAAGTAACTCCTGCTCAGAGTCTTCTCTCCTCTGTTTTTCCTCACCTATATTATCCTCCAGTGATCGTATTGTATCTTGGGCTGTGTCATTCTCCTGCTGCATCTGAGACTCAACATCCTGAATCAGTTAAAACAAAAATTAAACAACCATTTCTGAACACTCAAACAGTTCAAATAAGCTGAGTTAAAACCTCATATGTCATAAAAATGCTAAAAACATATTTTGAGTTCCACTTCATTACAATATTTTTTTTTTTTTCTGTCAAACTATATTTTTGTAACAATGAATTGAAAAATAACTTCTAAAGGAATGCCTTTTTCTGATTCATTTTTATAATCTAACATAACAAGAGCTGTCACAGGAGACATCCAAGCTCGACTAATAAAATACTGGACGCAGTAAGGAGGACAAAACTACGAAAGAAAAATCAATTATGTATAATTATGTATTAAGTTATAGTAAAAAAATAACATTTGTTAAAATAAATTCCAAGATCAAGGGAAATAATTCTAGAAATAGTCACGCTAGAGTTATGAACCTTGTCACACAACATGTATGTAATGATAAGAAGTATATATTTGAAGTTTGAAGTAGATACCTTAAAAAGTAACAAAGTTATAATATTTCTTAAAGAAAATCCTAAGTTCAAAGAGAGATAAATCTGTAAAAATTACTTCAAGAGTTATGAACATTGTCACATAAAATATAATTGATTATAAGGAATAAATATTTGAAGTTTGAGGTAGATACCTTTATAACTAAAAAAGTTATAGTAAAAAATAACATTTTTCTAGTAAAAATCAAAGTTGATGGGGAGATAATTCTTGCAGTATTGGTGCTAGAGTTATGAATCTTGTCACATAAGATGTGGATGATGATAAGGTACATTTATTTGAAGTATGAAGTTGATCCCTTTAGAAATAAATAAGTTACAGTAAAAAATAATATTTTTTAAAGAAAATTCTAAGTTCAAGGGGAGATAAATCTGAAAATATTGGTGCTAAAGTTATGAACCTTGTCACATAAGATGGGGATGATGATAAGGTACATATATTTGAAGTATGAGGTTTATCCCTTATGAAATAAAGAAGTAACAAAAAAAATAGTATTTTTTAAGGAAAATTCTAAGTTCAAGGGGAGATAAATCTAAAAATATTGGTGCTAGAGTTATGAACCTTGTCACATAAGATGTGGTTGATGATAAGGTACATATATTTGAAGTATGAAGTTGATCCCTTAAGAAATAAAGAAGTAACAGTAAAAAATAGTATTTTTTAAGGAAAATTCTAAGTTCAAGGGGAGATAAATCTAAAAATATTGGTGCTAGAGTTATGAACCTTGTCACATAAGATGTGGTTGATGATAAGGTACATATATTTGAAGTATGAAGTTGATCCCTTAAGAAATAAAGAAGTAACAGTAAAAAATAGTATTTTTTAAGGAAAATTCTAAGTTCAAGGGGAGATAAATCTGAAAATATTGGTGCTAGAGTTATGAACCTTGTCACATAAGATGTGGTTGATGATAAGGAACATATATTTGAAGTTTGAAGTTGATACCTTAAGAAATGACAAAGTTATAGTGAAAAATATTTTACTGCACCAAAACTTTAATCTGAAATCTGGACGCGGACGCCGGGGCGAGTAGGACAGCTCTCCATATACTTCGTATAGTCGAGCTAAAAACAACTGTCAAACCAATCACATTTATAACATGGGATGCTGGTAAATATTATAGGATACCTAATAAGGTATTTGAGAGTACAATAAAAATAGACATAAGATATTTACAGCTAGTTCCACTTTGAGATTCTCTACAGTCATTCTAGCTTGTTGTATTTCCTCTTTAAACATGTCTCTCTCCTGTTTGACTGTGTCATACTCTAGACTTGACACACCAGCTGCCTCGCCCGATGCTCCTGATCCCTCACGTAAACTGGCAATCAATCGTTCCTTAGACTAAAATTACAATTATCAATCTCAGGCAAAGGTAGGAAGCAAACACATTAATTAAAATTGTACAATCACTTTACTTTCTTTTCAAAACAACTAAGAAAAAACTGTTTTAGTGTATACACATTTTAGATGACTTTGAAATTTCAATATATAAAAATATCTCTTTTTTTAAACATGTTTTACTATTTTCTTATATACATGAACATGACAACTATTGTTGAAGTATCTTAAAGAAACTAAGCTACAGACATTACTATTGCAATTTAGTACAAAATATACTTTTTACGATGATATTTTCAAAATCAAATTAATTCATTTTGTTACATATGAATCAGAATGTCAGAGGTAAAAAAGACTAAATCACCAATAATTTAATACTACAGTCGACTCCACTTATAAAGAACTTGCTTACAAAGAAATTATCGTTAATAGCCAACTAGATCTGACATCCCTCGCTGATTCCTTCTTTATTTTATATTAAATCACATTGCTTAATACATACTTGCTTAAAACGAATTTTTGGCTATAGTGGACCATTTTTTTAAGTCCCAAATTGTGAAAAACATGTAAATTTCCTCTGTTAAAACAAACTGTTAAAATGGAAATATCGGGATGCGCTCGAATCAGATCAGTTCATGAATACTGCAATTCGATAATTATTCAATCAAGTGATTGCACAGGTAAGAATAAAGATTTTGATAAAATGTTCTCACAACATAATTTCCTACTTGTTACGGAAAATTTGTATTTCGCACCCTCAGTTGATAAATTGCTGTAAATACTAAATAATTACCAAATAAACTGATTTTTTGTTTGCAATATTAACCAAACATAAACAAACAAATAGTAAAAGAATACAAATGGTAAGCACTTTATAAACAAGTACTACATGTCTAAATACATGTATCATGTACATAATATTTTGTTCAATAAAATGATCAACATTAAATTACCGCTGCTGTAAAATAATGATTATACTGGTAACCAGTGACAGGTACTTTTTTCACAGCAAATTTACCCACCTAAACAAGTCAGCAAGTTGTTACTACTTCGCTTTTAGTGAACTTCGGAAATAACAAACGATATTTAAATGTCCCATTGAGTTCATTGTAAGCGGAGTCGACTATATTAATTTTTTTGCTGGCTGGAGAATTATAGTACTGTGATACTGTTATACCTAAACAAGTAATGGAGTGTTCCAAATTCATAGCAGGGCAAGTTCATTATACAAATTCATGAGGTTAAAGGTCAAAATCTTAAATCTTACTTTCTAATAATAAATCATTTAGACAGAACAAAATCATGATTCTTCTCTTGAAAACATAAATCTGCAGCTTTAACCATTACATATTTTGATCATAAACATGTAAACTATGTAGTAAACAATATTTCAAACATCATTTTATCACCTGTAATATCCTTGTTGCTTTTTCTTTATACTCCGAGAGTTCCTGTTTGGCTGACTCTAAGCTATTTCTCATAGATTTCAGTTGGTTGTTTAATTCTGTTACCCTGGCTGTAAATATATTTGTATCACATAAACAAGCATTCAGATCTTTATATATATTGATATTAATTTTCGTAATAAATCATCTTTTTATCACAGCTATCACTATTTAACATATCTTTGTCTGTTACAATTTCAATGTATTTTAGTGACTCATGATTCTGAGCCTATTTTACAGCAAAGAAATAAATAAGTGCATGCCATTACAGTTAAATTCTTGAGGCCACCCTGGCATAAAGAACCAAGTGCCATCAAGACGGATTTTTAGAAATGGAAAGATAAGTCATAAGATATCTAAGCCAAGATAACAATATCCACTAATGAAAACTCCAATAGCAGCATTCTGACTAAGTCCCATTAGAATTTTTTATCAAATAATGGTAATGTAGCTGAGTGGACAATGGTCAGTTAAATTAAGTTATATCATTATAAAAGGAATCACTGTCAATCATGAAAAGCACAGCATACATCTGCTATGAATTTCACTGTATATAAACAAAAATCACTTTACCCTGTCTTTTGAGCCTATACAATTCAATGTGTACCCTGTCTTGCCAGTAAAAGCACATGTTACTTCCTATTACTGTACCTTACTTGGTAGCCTATATATTTTAACTTGTAACTTACTTTCAATAACAGGAAGTAGACTTGTTTATATACTGTGAATTTATTCAAATATGAAAATCAGTGTTGTTATAAAATCAATTTTTGATTATTTTTTTTTTAATATTCATGTTTGTTGTATAATATTATGTGCTGTGTAATGTGTATCATAAACTAAACACGTGCTTGAATCTTATTAATTTCAGAGACGGTAGCTATAAATATTGAATATTATTTTTGAAATTTAAATATACTGAAAATATGAAATAATTAAGTAATTTTAACACCAGCCTTTTTCATCACTATATTTTTTCTCAGCTGCGGCAAGAGCTTCTGTAAAACTTCTCTGCTCCTCCTCCATTCTTGTCTGTCTGTCTGCCGCCTCTTGCTGGAATACACATAAATATCTTTATCAGTCATTTAACAATAGTACCAAAATCTTTAAAGCACTTTTATAAAATAAGTCCTTTTGTGTTAATAACATATCGATGGATTTGTTTAGTTTTAGTTGAAAAAAAGCATTTCACACTTCATTCATTGGTTATTATGATCAGGCACTATTATTTATGAAAATTGGTAACACAACAATCTTAAATACAAGAGCAATCAGTGATCACATGTGTCGCCTCATGATGGCCAATTTCATGTTGGGACAAGTTTTGTGACAGACGGACAGACAGACGGACAGTGCACAGTTAAACTTGGTACTGATCATTCCTGTAAAGTTTGGATAAAACTGCACCAGTAGTTTATGAGGAGTAGTCTGGACAAGCTTTTGTGTATCTGGCAACACACAGAAAAAAACACCTTTTTATCAAAGGGCCATAACTCAGCCAAAAATCATTCAACCGGAAAACCCGTGCAATATGCGCAAGGAATTGAGCTACAGATCAATCCTGTAAAGTTTCATTGAAATTGCATTAGTGGTATAAGAAAAGTAGTCCGGACAAACTTTAAAAATAAAAATTATTAAAGGGCCATAACTCTGACAAAAATCATTGAACCGGAAAATGCTGACAATATGCACAACTAGACTTGGTACTGATCATTCCTGTAAAGTTGGGATGAAATTGCACCAGTAGTTTATGAGGAGTAGTCCAGACAAGTTTTTGTGTATCTGGCAACACACAGAAAAAAACACCTTTTTATCAAAGGGCTATAACTCGGCCAAAAATCATTCAACCGGAAAACCCGTGCAATATGCGCAAGGACTTGAGCTACAGATCAATCCTCTTAAGTTTCATTGAAATTGCATTAGTGGTATAAGAGAAGTAGTCCGGACAAACTTTAACAAGAGCACCGCTAGGCGGAGCATTATATGCCCGAAAGTGTTTTTTTTTTTTTTTTAGTAAGGATGAAGCATTTGTAAGACATGGAATTCGCTGTTCATCCTATAAAATTTTAAAGCTGTAGGTTGATTTATACTTAAGTTATTAATAATGACCTTAACCTTTGACCTTGTGACCCCAAAATCAATAGGGGTCTTCTACCTTATATGCACAATCATCCTAAGAAGTTTGAATATTGTGGGCCAATTGATTGGAACTTTAATTAAGCTCTAGAAACTGTTTTCAGTATTAAGGTAAAAGTGACTTTGACCTTGTGACCCCAAAATCAATAGGGGTCTTCTACCCAATATGGATAATCATCCTATGAAGTTTGAACACTGTGGGCCAAATGGAACTTAAGTTATGCTCCGGAAACTGTTTCCAGTATCAAGGTAATAGTGACCTTGACCTTTGACCTTGTGACCCCAAAATCAATAGGGGTCTTCTACCCAATATGGACAATCATCCTATGAAGTTTGAACATTGTGGGTCAATTGGAACTTAAGTTATGCTCCGGAAAGTGTTTCCAGTATCAAGGTAATAGTGACCTTGACCGTTGACCTTGTGACCCCAAAATCAATAGGGGTCTTCTACCCAATATGGACAATCATCCTATGAAGTTTGAACATTGTGGGTCAATTGGAACTTAAGTTATGCTCCGGAAACTGTTTTCAGTTTTAAGGTCATAGTGACCTTGACCTTTGACCTTTTGACCCCAAAATCAATAGGGGTCTTCTACCTAATATGGACAATCATCCTATGAAGTTTGAACATTGTGGGTCGAATGGAACTTAAGTTATGCTCCGGAAACTGTTTTCAGTTTTAAGGTCATAGTGACCTTGACCTTTGACCTTGTGACTCCAAAATCAATAGGGGTCTTCTACCTAATATTGACAATCATCCTATGAAGTTTGAACATTGTGGGTCAATTGGAAGTTAAGTTATGCTTCGGAAACTGTTTTCAGTTTTAAGGTCATAGTGACCTTGACCTTTGACCTTTTGACCCCAAAATCAATAGGGGTCTTCTACCCAATATGGGCAATCATCCTATGAAGTTTGAACATTGTGGGCCAAATGGAACTTAAGTTATGCTCCGGAAACCAAATTGCTAACGGACGGACGAACGGACAGACAGACGGACGCCAGGGGGTATAACATAATATGCCCTTTCGGGCATATAAAAATAAAAACTATTAAAGGGCCATAACTCTGACAAAAATCACTGAACTGGAAAATGCTGACAATATGCACAACTTGACTTGGTACTGATCATTCCTGTAAAGTTTGGATGAAATTGCACCAGTAGTTTATGAGGAGTAGTAGTAACAAGTTTTGTGATGGACGGACGGACGGACAGACAGACGACGGAGAAGTGATCCCTATATGTCGCCACTACTCCGTAGAGGCGACACAAAAAGCATTAAATGTGCTTACTCTTTCATGGCTAAAAAATATAAACATAAGAATCCAAATACTTGTTAGAAGTGACTTATTTGGTCAAACTTATCAGCACTCATTTCATTCAGGTGTTGAACTGCATAATTACATCATTATCAATGGCTCCTAATTGAGGAGTAACAGTGTGTAGTAGATACTGTCGGAAAAAAAAATTAAATTCAAAATTATTACCCTCGATATTTTGTTAGCTTCTTGTTCTCTCTCTAATGTAGCCTCTACCTCTGATAGTTTCTGTCTTAATGAATCTAAAGCTTGACCATGTATACCACTGGAATCTGTATGATCCCTCAATATTCTGTACATATATCAACAAGAAAATATTAAAATATTTCAGTTAAAAGCTGCTGGCTGATGCAGAGCAAAACACTTTTTCTTTAAAAATAATTCAAGGTAATCCTGGTAAAAATGGTTACTTTTCAAATTATAATCAACTTTCTTTTTAGTTGGGTTTAATGTTGCGCCAACACGGTATAGGTCATACCGTGACTTTCCAGCTTTACTGGTGGAGGAAGACCACAGGACCCCTCCATGTATTATTTCAGGCATGAATGGGCACCTGAGTAGAACATTTTAAATTAATATACCATATATAAGTGATAAGAAGTCAATACATGCATTTGATAATATCTACATGATATTGTGTTTAATACAATAATTGAATAGATAGGCCTACTAATACACTATAAAATTTCTATTTTGTGTCCCCATGTATTGATTCAAAGCCTGGAAAATTTTTTATCAACAAACAGCATTCACATACATCTGCCAGGTACGCTTCAAGATAAACAAATTTATTAAACATTTATGTTTTGTTTTATTTTTTATAAAACTTTTCTGTCTGTCTAACCCCCAGGAGGTTACATTTTATTAAAGAATTTCCTTGTAAAAATGTAACCAATATGAAAACGTATCAGAAAACTACAAAATGCAGATGCAATATCAAACTACTGTTAAATAAACTGTCCACATGGTCTGCCCAGGTTTTAGTCAACATTTGTTTAACAAAGCAGTAATCTCTGCTTCAATAAAGAACACTGAAAAAAACTTTCTAAACTTGACAACAAAGCAATAAAATGACATATATATGAAAAAATATCCTCTAAATATCACTTATAACACCCCAAAGAACACAAATCTTCAATACCTTTCTTTGTCCGATTTTAAACTCTCAAGGTGTTTCTGTCTGTTCTGTAGCTCCCTATCAGCCTCTTCTAGCCTGATTCTCAACACCCCTAGTTGAGAATCCTTGGCCCCTATGGCCTCCAACAAATCCTGTTCCCTATTCTGTAACTCCCTCACTGACTGGTCAGACTTTGATACATTTCTAGACTGATCCTTTAATTTCTCACGTAACTTGGCCAAATCTGAAAATAATGGTAGAAGAAGATCATTTTCTCATTTTTGTTCATATGAAATGACTTTTGCTGATCTAACAAAGACTTTTCACAACACTAGGTTATCTGTTTCTTTATTCTTTCTAATGTAAACAACATTAATTTTTCCATAGATGTGTCAGGTAAAAGACAGGTAAACAGCTTGCACTAGTTAAATCATTCATTGATTAATTCTTGTTGAAAGTCAGCTGTGGTAAATATGTTCTCAAAGAAATATTGGCAGAAAAATATACATAAAATGAAAGGCATGTCACATAAACAATTAATTCCTTATGTTGCTCTATAATTTCCCTCCACATAAACACAACTACTGTAGTACAGTATTTTTCAAACAGATCTTACATTTAAAATGTCTCTTAGAATGATATCAGAAATGCTAATTTTCTTTAAACTCAACTAGTATTAAGTATTAATTCTGATGCTGGGCAACCATCAAAATCACTTTATTAATGTACAATGTACAATAATCTTTCCTAATTTAATTAATCTTCATTAAAAACTAGAAGAGTGTTTCATTTTTTACCACACTTGTTTTGAAAGTTGCTCATTTCACTTAAACAACATGGTTCAAAACTGAAATAATTTAGAGGTGCCCATAACTGTCTGAAACATATTTAAATGCTTAAAGGAGCACATAGGGTTGTAAGCAACTATTTGACAGCAACATTTGCCAGTGTGACTTAAAACACAAAAGAAAAGTTATTTTTCTCTTTCCAAAAATGAAAGAATTATGTAACCTGATTCTGAGTCCTTTGCTCTCTGTACAAGAGATGTCATTTCTTGATTTAATGATGATATCTCATTCTTGAGAAGTCTATTCTCCAGATCTAATGATGATGATGTCATAGGATTATCCCTGGATTCTATATCCTGGTTACTATGGACACTGTTGCTAGGTGACTGGTCTTGCATGGCGTCTTCTAAAGCAGCCATGTCCATATCAGTGGGACTTCCTCTGCTATCATTACCTGTACCTATATTATTATTATATCACACTATATTATATCATATTATATTATAAAGTGTCAATGTTAGTTTTAGACAAATCAATTAAAATGATTCAATTTTAATTAGACATATTCAACCATACCAATATAGATATATACTAATTTAAAGTATATGCAACAAATAATAATTTCACAAAAGATTCTTTTTTCAGCCTATAAATCTATGTACATGTATTATATCTTGACACGTAACAACAAGTAGAGTTTTCCATTTTAACAAAAAAACAGAAATACGTCATGTTCTTGGCAATAATTTTGAATATTTTTTTTCAGTACAGTCCAATCTAAAAGATGAGGTTTTAGGCGAACACCTTCAGTGTTTGTGAAGGTAGATCATGCTACAAAACCTTAACCAATGGTCACAAATATGAATGAGTATGATTTAATCCAAATGTTGGATATAGAGACCTACAACTTATCAGTTACAATTATGACTCCGAAAAAAGTCTGAAAACAATTTATGCGAAGTTTCAAATGAAAAACTTATTAATAAGCAGTTGTGCAAACTGATCAAACCATTTTTCAGGAATAACTAAATTTCACAAAATGTATTAATTATGTCATACAAATACATGCTAGATTTATCGGCCTTTAATTTATAACACTGTTACCTACAATAGTTATACAGTCAGGGGTGTAACTTAAAGCAGTTATCATTTTTATAACTGAATTAAGTTACATATTTAAGATCTACAGGTTGCTTCCCTTTGTCTATCCCGATAATTGGTTATCCCTTTTAGATTGTTCTAAAAATAGGTTATAAGGGCACTAAATCACGCACGCTTCATTTTATTGATCTTATGTCCTGATAAGCTCCCTTTAATTTTGGAAATAATTATGAGCGGCTTATATTAATCAAAGCGCTGAAAGCACTGATGTATTCGCTGCGCATTATAAATGCATATGTGTCTTACTAAAAACGTTGCAATTGTAAAGAATAAAGGAATATGGGCCACTGAATTACAGATTATTAATCTGATAGAGACATTAACACTGGTTGTTGAATATTACATTGAAAGAGGGAAAGAAGTAAGAATAAACTAAATGAGAACAACTTTATTACATTATCTAAGTGGTACAATAAAATATACATCCAAAATATGAATGCATGCAGTACATTCATGACTAGATCCTTAACATGATGAGAGAATTATGTTATAATGAATATATATATATACAGTAACAATACCTAGAATACTATATTGCTACATAAGCTTCAAATGTAATGACAGACAGATTACCTAGCTAAAGCATTTCAGTTTTTCACATGATGAAACTTGGAACATGTTAATTTCATGAAATTTAAGAAGAAAATATAGGTATTTTTGTAAAATACTTTAATTTTAAAAATTTCTGAGATTAAAAAAATACAAACAAGAGCTGTCCGTAAGACAGCGCGCTCGACTTTTTTATTGCTTGCCAATAAAAAAAGTTTTTGCAGTAAAAGGCAATACAAGAATCTCTGTATTTTTAAAGTGAACAATGGCCATGAGCATTAAGATATTTAGTGAAGAATTATTTTACTGAATTGTGTGATACCCTTGAACACTGCAGCAAAGTTTGAAATGTTTAAGTCAAAACATTGACAGTTAAGGGCCATAATTCAAATAAAATCTTTGACAGAATTACCTTCTCCTGGACATGTTTGGGAATCATGATTGTAAACAAGTATTCCAACTTTCAAATTAATATCTCAAACAGTTCAGTCAAAAAGTGGACTGGTACTAAAAACTTAACCAAGATTCTAAGTCGATAAAAGGCCTTAATTTTTAAAACAAATCCTTGACAGAGTTACCTTCTCTTGCGTACAGATGGGGGTAATGATGTGAAATAGCATTAAAAGTTTCAAAGCAATATCTCAAAGGGTTAAGGCAATAAGTGGATTTTACCCATATTCAATGTATTTTCTAAGTCAAAAAGGGGCATAATTCTGTCAAAAACCTTGACAGAGTTATGTCCTCTTGTCTGTTGATGAAGGTCGTGATGGTAAACAAGTATGGTCAGTTTCAAAGCAATACCTCCAATGGTTTGAAATAAAGTGAGGTGGTACAAAAAACTTAACCAAGCTCAATACACTTTCTAAGTCAAAAAAGGGCCATAATTCTGTCAAAAAACCTTGACAGAGTTATGTACACTCTTGTCTGTAGATGGAGGTTATGATGGTGAACAAGTATGGTAAGTTTCAAAGCCATACTTGTAATACTTCTGAAATAAAGTGGGGTGGTACGAAAAACTTAACCAAGGTGTGACGCCAACGCCGACGCCGACGCCGGGGCGAGTAGGATAGCTCCCCTTTTCATAGAAAAGTCGAGCTAAAAAGTACTTTTAATAGTTTGCGTATTATATTTTTAATTAGCCTGTAACAGTCAAAAATAAATTTTAAAATTCTGTTATTTACTTTTTTGCAAAGAAACATTACAAATGGAATGGGAGCATGAGGAAATGGCTTTAATAATGCAAAACAAGCAAAATGGGACAATAAGAGAAAAGGATGGTTGTAATATCTAATCTTTTTTTACCTACTGTGACCTTATCATGCAAAAGACCAAATTAATTTAAAGCGTTCTTGCACACAGTAAATGAGAATTTTTGATGTTTTCAAACTGAGTAGTTTAATATGACATTATTGAAATATGGATGACGGACAGACCAGGAATCTTTGACTGTTTGTAATAGCTGAGCTTTTGCTAATGTGAGCTAAAAAAAATGAGAATACTGATGTCAAGGATGATTCAATAATATCCATATTTAAGAAAACACAACTTTAAAACCAATTCCAATATTGATAAAAAAGTAAACAATGTATATTATCTATGCCCCTGGTTAAAACATGATAGAAATATCCCCAGAACCTTTTTACTCACAATAATAATACATGTAATTATAACAGCATTAATAAGTACATCGCCTTATCTAATAGTTTGAATCTTACACAATTTAATGTTGCATGACAAACATTCTATTATAAAGCTTTCAATATTTCAGTTACTTCATACATAATCAGTGTTCTTTTCTAATTAAAGCATATATACAGAACTTGCTAACATGAAAAACAAATTTGGTCACGATAAGTTTATCTCATGTATAAAATTGCAACTTGCTTGCAATTTAAGTAATTTTATTTTAAGATTCTTATGCTAGAAAGTATGGTGATTGCTCAATTTTAAGTCATTTGATAAAAAACATT